TCTACATAAAACCCCCACCAACCATCTCCCAAAAGCTGGTTAGGCACAATAAAATGTAGAAGGAGTTCAGGGAAGACGGGGCTTTTTGGACAAAAAACGTCATTTTGATCCCCATTTGACCCCCGGGCAAAATCAAAATTCCTAAACCTTACTGCACATCTACATGACCCCACCAACCATCTCCCAAAAGCTGGTTAGGCTACTGAGTAAAATGTAGAAGGAGTTCAGGGAAGACGGGGCTTTTTGGACAAAAAACGTCATTTTTCGACCCCCATTTGACCCCCCGGGGCAAAATCGAAATTCCAAAACCTTACTGCACATCTACATTACCCCACCAACCATCTCCCAAAAGCTGGTTAGGCTACTGAGTAAAATGTAAGAGGAGTTCAGGGAAGACGGAGCTTTTTGCTTAAAAAACGTCATTTTGACCCCCATTTGACCCCCTGGGACAAAATCAAAATTCCGAAAGCTTACTGCACATCTATATGACCCCACAAACCTCTTCAATATGTATCCATTAAATCAAGGCCAGTAGATTTTTTTGTCAAACATTTGCCATTATTCTCTCGAGAACATACATGTAGCTAAAACAAGTGATGCATTGCGGGTCCAAATTACTGTGTCAAAACATTCTATCAAATGAATGTGCTTTAGTCCGAATTTTCTATTCAAGAGCTTGTAGTGACGAGCGTCAATTCTCTGCGCTCGCTATAATTTGATAGTTTATAGGTTGGACTTTTTTTAGATAAGCACTCCAATTAATGTTATGTCTATACTTGGGTTACAAAGTTTCCTAACCAAATCTTGAATTCTCTACAATGATAACATGATATTGAATATTAAGTGCTATGAGAATGAATCAGACGATTTTTAAAAATTGTCTTTTATTTGTCCTCACCTGCATCACCAGCGGACGATGAAACTGAAAAAAAAAGATTACAGAAATTATCAAATATTTTTAAAATGAATTCAAATATTTGAAAAAAATTCAACTTATCATAAAAATTGCATAAAACATTTCTTCATTTCATTGAATACATACAATTGATGCTCGCAGCTTATTTTTAAGTTCTCGAACGTAAAGAAAAAAACCCTTCAATTTAAGAAGGAAGGATGAGTTTGATTATTGTTCAACGCATAAGATAATAATACTTTTCAAACATAATATTCCCGTCCAGCCTGCCTCACACCCATCAAAACACGTTCCATTTGTCTTGGAGCATGGTTTACCGTCCTTACAGTGGCCACAGTCGAATGCACAGCTTGGTCCATATTTATAATCTACACAACCTGAAATACAATTAATGTCTGTCAGATACAGAATATGTTATGCTTTTTTTACTTTGATTCAATGTGCAAATATTTCGATCATTGCAATGAATTTCCTAAAATTCACTTTTGTAAGATTGATTAATTGATTCTGTATTGTTTAATGTTCCTCTCGAATGTTTTTTATCGACATGGAGACGTTTTTGTGTAAGAAAATTAAAGTATTAATCAACTTATTAGTGCAGTGTGGTGGTTTAAGTAAATTGTTACTACATCCATAAATAAAGGAAACATTAAATGCATCACATTCTTGGTTCAGACATTTTTCTGAGCATGGTGCGCAGTTGTCTCCATAATGTTGAAAGTGACACCCTTAAGTAAAAAAATAGCAACAAACAATGAAGAGAGCATGTTCGTTTAATATAAGTATTTGATAAAAAGAATTTCTCACATCATACAAGACAAAAGGGTTGATCAAGCCTTGAAATACGAGCGACGTCCCATAAAATCGTGGACAAAGCGTTTTTCTCGGAAAGTAATGGGCGCACTAAGCTGAAAATTTCAGTAAATGTTTATTTATCATATTTAAGTGCATGATAATTTTTTTTGATAAAATATAGGCAAAAATAAAGATTTTATTATGTTTAACTGTGCACGGGATATTGTCCTACGGCGCACGGTCAAAACACCAAGGTTTTATTAAAGAATACACAAGTTTCATTTCAGAATAAAAGTTTTAAATACACAAGAATTGGATTACAATTATCCTAATTCAATTCCACTATCAATTTTGTAGCTTTTGTAAAAATTTTAAGGCATTTGCTTAATTTTTGACAGTTTCTCGAGCATTCAAAATGGGAAAGTGGTAAACACAACACACGAAAAATGGCGACGTTTTATGACGTTACGGCGCACCGGAGAGCTGTTCAGTTTTAATTCGATGTTGTAATGACACCTCTAGAGACTTAAAATGACCATAGAAGAAAAAAGATTATAAAAATATCACAATATCTGAAGTATACAAATGAAATAGGAGTTTTCTTAGCCAAACTTTTTTGATCGAGTCCCTGGGGAGTACAAAACATACGGACAAACTCCTAATGTAATAGCAAAAGACGCTGTCTCAGTAGACCGCCGATATGAGAGTTTCTATTAATTGAACGATGGTGAGAATATTGTCCGTAACTTACTTATAAATCTTCAGAAGATCGCATGACGGTGCCACTTGGTTCTTCAACTGTTTATGGAGATTAAAGGATGTGTATCAATGAAATTCCTAACTTTAAGTCGGACTCATATAACTTCATTTTCAGCAAAGATAAAACGTGACCCTGTTTTAGACACTTTGACGTTATAAATCCAGGCGCCGTAAGGTGATACAATACATGGCATAAAATCTCATAATTTGTTTATTTATGCATATATTTATCTGGAAATTGCTGTGTATATTACTAAAATATGTACTAAATAATAGTGAAAATTTCAGAACGCAGTGATGTTTATTTTTTACACTAGACAACTTGTCCACGATTTTACGGGACAACCCTCGTATATTAGATCATCAGAAAATGCAAGAGATATTACATTTTTTTTTGTCAAGCAGTCTTCTCATACAGTCTTTTGTTGTCTCATTATTCATATATCTTTTACTGATTCAGTGATATCTAACATGGTATAGCCATCCCATTTTATATATCAGACATTGGAAAAAGGTCCGAAGGATGTAAATTAAGGAAGGATACCTTTGCAACGTTCAGGTAAAGCGATAGTGAGAGTTCAGTCATATTTTATTCAGATGACAAAGAAGTATCAATAGCAAAGTTTTACTATCATGTTGGAATCCACAGATTAATTTTGGCAAATGTGTACAAAATACGAAGATAAATCAAATAAAATACAAATTTGCTACCCTTTACAGAATTGCTTTGCTGTTCAAATCCACTAATTTTAAACATCTCTATCATATTGGAAATTTTACTATCAACGTTGTTTTGCATCGTTACATATAAGTATTTAATTTGTTTTTATTTCATCATCTTTTAAATATTACATACCCATGACCATTACTTCACATATTTCAATAGTAGCATACGAAGGTTCATATCCTGCACAGCCTGTAACGAGTGGAGGGGTCTTGGAATTATATAGTGCTATTCCTTTAATCACTCTGTTGACAGTGACATTCATCACATGGTTTGGACAGGACGATGGATCCTGCTGGAACACTCTATACCCACCAGTAAATGGCGGTATATACGATGGCTCATTAAATACAAACACACTGAAACCAGTATGCCGATTTATGGCTAGGAAAGAAGAGAAAAACTTAAGCATATTTTATTCCCATATTGACTATATTATATCAAAACAAATAGTGTTCAAAATATAAATTTTTTCATGTCTGATAGTGTTTTTTTTTTATCAATACATGTCCCTATTTTACAACTTTTTTATTCCTTCAGTAGCTCAAATTGATAATGAATCTATAAAAGAAACCAAAATGCACACATATGAAACTAAGAGGTTAACAAGATGACATATTTTGTTTGCAACAGAATGTTTTATATTGAACGCCCGTATTCGGATTATTTCAGACATTCTCATATGCGTATTAAAAACTCAGCATTCAATGAAATGATAAGGTTGTAATCGCTAAAAATCTATAGATATTAATTGTATTTTGGTAGACTATCTAGACTTTTACTAGCTATGAATTCGAAATGAATGGAAATACGAATATTATTCAAGCTCAAAATCCTTTAAACAACACAAAATTAGAGCAGACTAGACTTGGATCCCCAGAACATTACAGATGTGATCAGATGTCATTAAGGAGTAAGCATCCCCTGCCAAATGGTCATATCCGCCCTGTGCTCCTTGTCATGATTGGAAAATAACGAAAACATCCGTCGTCAATTCAATGTTTCAGAAATGGTCTTACAAGTTCGAAAAACAGTCAGCATTTGACTCAAAGATTAATTGTATTTGCTAACAGAGTCATTGTGTCGGTCAAAGAACGTACGAATTGAGATATAAATACTTTTTCAAAACTATTTGTAAAGATATTAACAATTTCAACCTATTTTGTTTCAATGTACAAAGTATATTGCGACCAATATCACATGCAAGTTAACACAGACAATTAGCATTTTTCCTCCATTTTTTTATCAATAGGAAATATTAAATTGTTAAATGGATTTTTGCCTTACACATTTCGGTTTTAAACAGAAATTTAAATAGACTGAAAATAATTTGTATTTTCTTATCGTACCATCTGATATGATTCTTTACTATTCTTGTTATGGGTAATTCTAAAATAATTAAATCGAATACTTGTTTGTCTGAGGAAAAGTAGCAAGTAAGCGACACTGGACTTTTGAAGCAAAGGTAATTTCCACCATGCAGTCTTTGATTTGTTAGAACGCGTGAAGCTACAGTAATCTTTTCCATCTTCCTCTAGAGTGTGTCCATCTACTGCTTTATCTGCTGCCGCCCAGTTGTTTTTGTGAACTAAACTTTGAGAAGCTGCTCCCATATACACTGGGTTTTGAGCTAGATTTTCTGAAATGTAGCGGATTAATACGTTATCTATGAGAAAGAGAGAAGTAGGTAGGAGAGAAATAGTATTTATTTGAAATAAACGTATACATGAAGTACGATCCATTTTTAAACGACACAATCTACTGATGGAAAAGTTGATATCATTGCTCGTGCTCTCTGGCTGAAACAACCACAGTAATTTTGTTTTGCATTGAATACGTGCGGTGTAGGCTCTATTCCACGGTAAGTTCAAGGAATACAAGTGAAGATTGCTGTTAGGATAAGGCTGTCCGTAAAACATCACAATGTACTAGCCGTATCTTTTCAATTCTGCATTGAAACATCATAATTATACGTACCAGGTAATACTTTACCACCATAATATATTTTTGTTATATGATTCCATAATTTCCTTCTCTCTGCTCGGCTGAGATCCAACAATGTTAGAAATATACTACGTTATATTAACCTGCACGTGATCTTCCAGGTCAATATAATGAATTATTGCACATCAATATATTAGATTATTGACCTGTTCCATTTTTTCTGTTACAACGTGTTCTTGCTGAAACGTCTTGTTTAATTTTTTGATTAAAGCAACGAAACAGTATTGTTGGAGTTTGCTATCATTTAATCATATAATAAAACAGTTATTGCTGGGGTTTTTTGCGGACAATACGATGCTTTAGCCACCTTCGAAGTACAATACCCAGATAGCAAGACTATGTTGGGCCAACATTGGCAAAAGGTTGTATGGTTGGCGGTGGGGAAACAACGTTGGACCAATGTCACCATGCCAACCTTCTCGACCATGACAGAATTCCTAGAAAATACACGCTTAAAGAAAGTGTCTTTTAAAGTTGGTAGTAGTATGTTGGCCCAACGATGGCCCGATGTTTGAAATACACCCATAAAGAATGCGTCTTATCAAGTTGATCGTAGTATGTTGGCCCAACGTTGGTCAAATGTTTGTAATACATACTTAAAAATGTCTTATCAAGTTGGTAGTCGTATGTTAGGCCAACGTTGGCCAAATATTTGTAATACACCCTTAAAGAAAGTGTCTTATAAAATTGTTAGTAGTATGTTGGCCCAACGTTGCCCCATGTTTGTAATACACCTTTTAAGAAAGTGTCTTATCAAATTGTTAGTAGTATGTTGGCCCAATGTTGGTCTGATGTTTATAATAGACCCTTAAAGAAAGTGTCTTATCAAGTTGGTAGTAGTATGTTGACCCGACGTTGGTCCGATGTTAGCACGAGTGTACTTTTGTTTAGGTGTTTCAAGGATGGGATATTTATATTGGGCCAACTCTGGCCCAATTATTATACTGCCAAGTGTCAGTCTTAACTGCTGAGCTTTACGTTGGGACAACGTTGGTTCTAATTAAGTTTTAATTTAGATGCACATTCTGAAATAATTAAAAGGACATTCAATGTCCATGCTTTTAACTGGATGACTGTTTTTGTTTAGATCTGATATTTTCAATATTTTAACTTTGAACTTAAGTGATCACAGCACCAAAGAGCGTTCTATTATATTTTTTGAATTGTGCACACGCATGCTTATCTATTTATTTGAAATAAAACCCTTGAAATAATGAAATTTTTCATGAGCGTTGTATTCATGAGAATTTAGAAAAGACTGAATACAAGTTCTCAGGAACAGGATGTGAATGAAGCCTACATATACATAAATCAAAATGGCACAGCTTTATAATTGAATGGAAAACAAAAGTTAGACGTTCGCTAAAGATTGGGGGAGTCGCGTGGATATCAAATTAGACCAAACTGTGGAGTGAGCTGTCAGATTCAATTGCACATAGACTTGCTCATAGACTGAAAATGCAGGGAAAGCAAGAAGAAGAAAAATTTAAATTTGTGGATTATACACTTGCTATAGCTGCATTTAGAAGCGATGTAAGTATATTTATTCTTATTTATTCAGGTAAACTGTTAAAATATATTGATTCGGAATTCATTCTTTTCATGTTTTTGCACACAGGCAATGTAAGTTAAGGTTAAATAACATCTTTCAAGTTGTTTCTATTTAATTCTTAACTGTCAATTACAGACACGATTGCAACAAGGAAATCAAGGTGCACTAATAGTATAATACACTATTCTCTTTATTAAAAGATTTAATGTAAGTAATATTTATTCATAAGTTGGACCAGTAATTGCATTGTTTCTAATATCAAACTATTTTGTATTTTTAGTCAGAGACTGCAAGGAAAACAAATGTTGTGGCGGTAAATAGCAATGAAATCGAAGACCATGCATAAAGAAGTGTATAAAGTACGAGTACGTATGACAAAGATCAAGATGAAGGAAACGGGAGGCGACGAAGGGATGGGAAAAGAGCGGGAATACAACAAAGGGACAGTAATAAAGGAAGTGAGCCCTGATTAAGAACTTTGAATTGATATTTTTTAATAATTTACCTCTATCGTCTATTTTAAGATTTATTTTGTAAATTATGATTGAATTGATGTATATAAAATATTTTTACAGTGAATCATCAGTGCTTACATTGAAAATGTCCATGTATGCATTATGAATGCAGATTGAATTTTGTATTAATTTTTTTAAACAGTCATAAAATAAGTTTATGTAAAGCATCACTTAACCAATTGAAAATGTTTCTGTGTAATAACTACGTTGGCCAAACAATTTGCCATCTGACATTGTAAAAAAGGGTCAACATTGGGCCAACCTAACCAACCAGTTGTTAAGGTTGGCTGTTAGTTGGCAAAAACTACAAACTACGTTGGCAAAACAATATGCCATCTGGCATTTCAACAAATGATAACGTTGGGCCAACCTAACCAAACAGTTGTTAAGGTTGGCTGCTAGTTGGCAAACACTAATAAAACGTTGGCCCAACAATATGCCATCTCATATTTCAACAAAGGGCCAACGTTGGGCCAACCTAACAAACCAGTAATTAAGGTTGGTTGGTTGTTGTCATATAATTTTACCTACGTTGGCCCAACAATATGCCAACATGTTGGACCAACGTTGGACCGATGAGCAAAATTACTGTCGGCCAACGTAAGGTTACCAACAATGGGCCAACGTTGGAAAAAAAAATTGGGCCAACGTTGGCCCAACTATGTCTTGCTATCTGGGTATTCACTTCCCCTATCGGGTTCAGTAAATATTGTACTCCTCAGGTGTATAAATCATCGTATTGACCTAAAAGCAGCAATAATTGTATATTACTCAAGACACTCCAAACTTGACCTTACAATCTGCGTTCATATTGAGGAATATCTTGTAGCCGAATTTCCTTGAAATGTGCTATTTATCTTATTTTGTATAAATTTTGATGAAGACTAACAAATTATTTTTAATATAGAAATAAGTTAAAATTGTTGTAAAAGAGAAATATAGAAAAAAATGATAGTTGGACTCCAAGACCAAAACTGAGAACAGATTTAAGTCAATATTCTGAATTTGAATAACTAGTGATTTAAAATACATATTAAGTTCTAATTTCTTTGCAGATTTATTTTTAATATTCTAATTGAAACAAATCGAAAAAAATTTGTTTTGTTATCAGATTGATTAAAAGAAATATATTGGCTTGAAATTTTGATTTAAGTCTGTCTCTCTTTGGTCTTGGGGCCAGATCTATCTAAACGTAAAACTATAAAACTATACAAAAATATTAAGAGGACATCAAGGGGATCACTGAAATTTCATAGGTTGGACCAGGTACATGTACTCAGGAGAAGAAAATCTTACAGGTATATTCACTTGTCACACACGCCGTGAACCTTGTGCATTAATAAAAAGAGGAATTTTCCATAGTCAAATCATTGTAAAAATAAAGCCCTACATTTGCTTTCTTTCAAAATATAAACTTTAACGATATTTATATACCGTAAGAATTTTTGCAAAACTGAGTTATTGATTGACTTATGTAACAATCAATTTACAATGATTTTGGTATTGAACTTGTACCATTACGAATTTTGCGCAAAACTTGAAATAAATGTGTTTGCCATGTAAACAAGAAAACAAATCAAAAGACATCACGGCAAATCATTAATTAAAGATCGAAAGGAAAATGTTGAAAGGCTCATTATTTTATATTCTAAATTGCTGATATTTACCTTTGTAAGGATACCGTAGAAAATTTTCGATAACATTGGAGAAAATACTGAGAAATCATTGATCTAAAAAAATAACAACAAACAGAACAATCCGTTGAACAGGGCTTTAACACTCACTCCCGGAAGCATATCTCGGCATAACAGTTTAAAGATTGACTATAAATCATAAGTTTAAACATACGGAAGCTTAACGACAAAATTAAGAGAAGGATTATGTCATGTTCAAAAAAAAAAAAAAAAAAAAAAACCGGAGAAAATCATGGACAACTCAATGTGTAAACGATGACATAACAATCTGAATAAAAAATATTAAGGCAGCATTTGAATAAATTTGACTAAATGATGTATTTACTGACTGACAAAGTCATATCTTTTTCAGTTCGCATAGACTAATTTGATTTTAATACTTTTAACGACTACTTGCTATCTCATTTCCATGCTTTGCTTTTGGGTTTTTTTAAATTATGGTAAACAATTATTGCTTGGACTCTGACGCCCACGCAGAAAATATATATGGGAGGCTAAACCAACGCCCTGGGCATACGTCTATGCAATGCATGCACATGAATACCCTATAATAATTTGTCCTATTCGAATTAGAATACGTCATTTATTAGCAAATTTCGCTGTTAAATTTGCATATCGTATTTATATATTTATTGACAGATAAAGATTTCTCTTTTATACACACACTTTTATATACAAAGTTAACTAAACAATGATTCTATGGTATATATACATATATGTGTATAGATACAGATACAACTTGAATTAAAAACTTCATTCAACGACGAGTTCTAGCTTTTAAAAGATAGAACAAGTCTTCAGCGGCATTGGTTTTGTGCATCAAGGCTCTAAAACAGTTTGATATTTAGCAATCCGGACAAGGTTTGATAAAGTATTTAGCAACTTTTTTTTCATATAGGGGAGGGGTTGGGGCTAAAAAAAAATATGCGTACTACAGAGCTTTGCTACACGTGTACTATCAGATCTATTTTGCCAGTGTTAGATTTCTTACGAATAAATCTCGAATATATAGTAAGTCCCCGCCGTTTTTTATTATATGTATTAAAATAACTATTTTTTTCTAAATTAGTAATTTATAGGCCAATCAGACTAACAATAACAATTTTGCTATGAAAGTTCTATCAATCAAAGTATGCAGATTATTGAAGGAAATTTGAACTAACCTATATGAATATTCAATGAAATTTTTCTATTATCATAAGTTGAATTTCGGTTAGAAACAAATATGCGTATGGTCCATGTACTGTAGACCTTTTTTTAAAGGACAGCTACTTGTTTTACATGTAAGTTACTTCATATGATATTTACTGATCCTTGATTTGAATCTTTCGACAGCTTTTTTTGTGCACCTGAAAAAAATCTGTCTTTCCGAGTCAAACTTTTAAAATTTCTTATTGAACGTAATTTAGCGAAATGTGTCTTATCTTTTATTCTTGAAATTAGTTATCAATTTTACTAGCTATTTCATTCACGAAAATGTTTACGCTACGTATTCGCCTTCTAGTGAAAAAACGACGTCAAATTTAAAGCATAATGCCTTATCAAATAGGTGGCCGATCGATTCGAGTTCCAAATAAAATAAATTCGGAGTTAAAATGGTTGAAAATTACGAAAGCAAAACAACCCTATAAGCAATAATTTATACAACATAAGGCCTTTTTAGTAATAAAGAACACATTATATCATTTAAATTATTTCATTGTGATTAACTTAATTTAATATCGTGCAAAATTAAGATTACCTAGACCAACTGCTATACAAACAAATGCCAGTCCACTATATATAATTTCTAGTAAAGCATTCATCTTCTCCGATTTACCGTGTTGCGTATTTTAATGTTCAGTTGAAGTATTTAATACATGTACTAGATTTTATGTTCACATTGCTTCCTTTTTGTTATCTATATATTTGTCATTTTTTAAAACATGCATAAAAATAATTTTAAAAAGTAAAACTACTGTAACAACTTCCTTATTTATCTGAATAGTGATTATTGTTTTAACAACTATAACATCTGCATATTAAATCATATATCAAAACCAATAAAAAGACGTCTTAGTCATGAATTATTTTGAAAAAATGACCTTTGATTAAAAGAACTTCTTGGTGTCTGTTTTTTCAAATATATCCTCTTAAAAGAATTTTCCTCAGTATATGTTTCTTTTTCGATTTCTTTAATTGGTGCAAATATATAATTTTTGGTCATTTTTTTTAATTTTTCTGTCATAACATGTGATGTTTTTCTTTTATACAAACATTACAAAACTGCAACATAATGGAAAAAAAGCAAATGTTTATACATGATAGACAAAAACAATTTTGAAAAAAATGAAAATCTTGTTTATTACTTTTCTTCACTGACTGAGAAACGTTTTCAAAAAATCCAACTTTTGCTTTATCATGTCCGTTATCTAATGAGAGAGAGAGAGAGAGAGAGAGAGAGAGAGAGAGAGAGAGAGAGAGAGAGAGAGAGAGAGAGAAGGGGGAAAGCTAAATAGTTCTATAATATTTGAGGTACAACACCCCCACCCAAAAAATATTCAATTTTTGCTATTTGTTACAAGATTAAATCTTCTGTGTGTATGCACATTTTGGACAAAATTATTAGAGTAGTTTTTGGACAAGAAATTCCAAAAGTACCCCCCCCCCCCATTTAATTTTTAATCAATGAAGTACTTAAACCTTGATTTTCAAAAAAGCCAGGTTAGCTATAACTGTCAATTTTCATCAGCTTATTCTTGTAATAATCTAACACAAAAATATAGTCATCTTTTTGAAATACACATCATCAAGACCTTAAAATGAAAAACAATGATTAATCCAAGCCTTGAAAATAGTGTATTTTTCAATTTCAATTTTTTTTGTGAAAAAACCTGTCGTTTAATTTAGGTAAAAACTTTCTTTTAATAGTTTGTAGTAAAAATAATCTTCATAATTTTTTGTATAATTTTTGTACCACCAGTTTTGATTTGATAACAGAAAATTATCCCCTCCCCCTTTCTCCATCAATCACTTTCCCGCGCGTCTTTCAGATGTGGGTCAAATGCAATGCTATGAATCTACAAATACACGTTTGAAAAAATCAAATTGGAATATTGCTTTTACTTTAAAAATATACTAACTTACATATATCAGAGTTCTCAAATGTAAAGCGTATTTGAATGTAGATTTTAGGCAATTTTTAATGCCCCCACCCCATCCCTTCCTTTTTTGTGTCGCAGACCATAAGCGTTTGAATAACTGTCGGTTACAGTGCAGATATATTTCGTCATATGAATCCCTGAAATACACACTAGTTTGTTAATTCATGAATGCAGAATACATGTTGACCACTGGTTTTTTTTATGTATCAAGAAAAATTTTCTAAAGGATTTTATGTCCAAGTTTTTAGTCCTTATATGTATGTGTTATGCATTCAATTTCATATAATACCTTGATACTGTTTAACTTCATTATCTTGCATACCTTGATACAAATACGACTTACGTTGAACGTCGACTTACGTTGATCTTCTTGAATTTTCATTGTATTACTATGTGCCTGGGATTGTCCTTATATTTTGAACAATCACTATTGTAAAATGTTGCTGAATACGCTCATGCATCATGTCGGACATTTAAAATTTTAAATAATTAAAATCTTTAACGTATTATCACTACTTGTAGGGAAAAAATCCCTAAAAGCGGAAAACGAACATAAATGTGCAAGAAAGTGATTAAATATAAAACAAATAAAAAAAACCTAAAAGCGCAATTATTTTTTTAATTTAATAAAAAACAAGTGATTAATGAGCTAACTATGCTACTGAAAGAAGGAGCTGGGAAATCATTGGTTATTATTAATAAAGAACTTCCTGTTAGAAAAAAAATTGAGTGTGAGCAACTCATGAATACTTAACGTCCATTGCGATATGACATCCAACATACACCGAGGAAGAACTTAGAATTTAAATATGTACTTGTGCACGTGAAACCTTATCATTTTCAAAACTGCGAAGTCGCCCGTGTTACGCAGTGGTTAAAACGTTTGCTGTAGAGTTTTGAAGTAAGGACTTGTTCCTTACGTCGAGGTTTAAATTCTACTGTGGCACGCGGAGACCTGTCCTTCGGATGCGACCGTATAAACTGAGGTCCTGTGTCACAGTAGGTGCTGCCAAGAATAAGATCCCTCACTGTTTTACGGCCTTAAGTGCCGAGTATAGGACAGAATTTGTACCTCTCCCTTGCCATGAAGTAGCGACTTTATATGAGTGAAAAATTCTCAATAGGGGCGTCAAACTAAACAATCAATCAATAAATTCATAAATGCATGAAAACAGAACATCATTTAAAAAGTCGACGTACATTTAACTATGTTTATTGTCCACATAAAAGCGTCAAAGTTTGGGAAATAACTGCAGGGATAAAAAAAAAAATTAAAACCATGTTGATTAGAAACATAGAACAGTATGAAATTTTTTAAACATAATGCGTGAAAACTCTCAACATCTGTAGAATAACTCTGATGTAAAATGACTTTGATTAAATGCTTAGAATTGACTACCTAGCGATTCTGATAACACAACAAAAATTAATCCAATGTATATATTTTCTACAAAAGCCATTATGTCGTACATATATGTATATATTAGTTTTTGTTTTAATACTCAATTATATAGTAACGTCTGTAAAGAAATAAATTATACAAATATCAACAATAGGACATGAATGGATAAACCCAAATGAGCACGATCATGTTTAATTGTACGTCTTCAAATTAATTGTTCCTCATTAAGTGAAATATTTTTGTTTGGCAAAAAAATAAACACCAGTTGAGAAGTATGCAACCAATAAGATACATTGAGAAAGTGAATGGAAAGTCAAACATTTATAAAAAAAAGAATATGTATTGAATAATATTTTAAATCAGAAAACTCTTATCATGTAGGTGGAAATTTTAGCGAGACGCAATTTTAGCGATATTAGCAATCCTTATAATATGGTATTTTATTTTAAGCGAGAAGTAATATAAACGATTTTAAAGTGCTCACTAAAGAGATTATAATCAAAAATTAGACACAGTTTATTTTTTTGCTGTATTTAATTTTAGCGATCACAGAACCCTTGCTAATACATGCAATGCAAAAAATAAATTTTTTGCTTAAAATTCTGCTTATACGGTATTTGCATAAAATTTAAAGATCTACAAAGGTATTTTTTAAATCAAAATATTACATACAGAGCGGTATGCTCAACCTACTTTTCAAAAGGAAGAATGTAAAACTGTTATCATTTTTTTGAAAAAATAGCAAATAAGAGGGTAATTTTATTTTTGGTAAAAGAAATGACAGAGTACTGCTGCTGTTACATGCATTTATTTCTTAAATTTCCATTAATACGTTATGTCGCGACTACCAATGAGTACCTCGCAGTTATCTAACTTACTACCGCTCTTTTGCTGGGGAGTCGAGAAAAGTCTACATTTCTGGGGGCAAATGACATTGTTTAGAGTAGTGACAATCGAATGATTCGAACAATTTAATGCCGAAATCACGATATTTTGCCAGATATTGAACTCCAAATAGTAGATTGTCAAATAAGGAAAGATTAGAATATTTTATATGCTTAAAAATGTGACAATTTTCAAAGAAAATTTAACGAGAAGAGTCCGCTTAATTAAAAATATCGTTAAAAATGTGACAATTTAGGATTGGCTCCTCTCAAAAATATATTAGGCTAGTTCAGCAATTGTTTAGCGAGGTATTCCACCAGGATTTTTTACTTATCTGTCCTTATAAATGCTACAATGATCGATCTTGCATTGTATTGAAAAGCACATTGCCCCCACCCAACAGACGATTCCTACCTCCTTCGCGAAAGAGTTCCGCTAAGTTAAGTAATCGCGATATCAAGTATTCGTACAGAGTCTTTTTGCTAATTTTTTCTGTCCAAGTTTATTATTGGAAATATAAGATACCATAGAGTCTAACACATCTGTTTCAAATTTGGATCTTATACTAGGAAAAAAGACGTAAATGGCTTAATAAGAGCTACCTTTATGATAAAATAAGTGTCATTGAGGAGTGAGCATTCCCTTTCGACCCTTTCCATTTTAAACCCCCATTATTCACATTTTCAAAACACCATTAATCAATAGTGCAACAAAATCTCAATATTTACGTCATGGAAAATCCTGTTAAGGGACCACACAAGATCATTTGCTATCCCTTTATTCACTGTAGCGTTTTAATGGTCATGTCTGATCATCTAGGTCATTTCTTTTGTGTCCTTCAACAAAGACTGATATCTTCTTTCGATTTAATGATCAATTGTTAAACCATTCATGCATGCAGGGTGTGTTTTGTCTCCATGATGATTGATGATGTTATTTGCTCCACCGCTCCACTTTGGAGCTCCATTTTAAGTATCTGGACTAGAAAGGGTACTTCTTCGCCAATCTTTCACATTCTGTGAATCGTCACTTCGTTAAAAACCACAAAAACAATCCAAATTAAAAAAAAGAATTAGTTACAATGTACTGGTATTTAAAATATTTTGGTGCCTTTGGACACCAGAGATCAAATTTATCAACACAATGTTAGAGTTCAAGAAGACACTGTGCTTCTTTTTTAGCTGTTAGTTTGTCTAATCTCTTTATAGCATAATTTATTTTACAAAGAACTACTAAAATGTACATGAGAAAAAGATAACACTATTTGACGTTGTATTATTTATGAACAAAAGTTAAATGATGGCTCTAATTCTTGGCTAAATTATTCGAGTATACTAGTAATCTGTTTTGGGTCAGTTCACGCGTATCTAAAATCTTCATGAATATTGACAGTGATAATATCAACAATCTCTTACATATTAGCTTTAGCGCAATTATGTGAACAAATAAAAATGTGACGCTGTTTAATAATAAATTTAAATGGTGCATCAGTCAATCGAAACATTTACAGGTGAAAAAGTTATGAAGTTATTAAAGGTACACGAGCCTTTAAATCTCATGGGGGTACTTGTATGACATACAAACGAATTGTAAATATAATTTTCATATTAACTCATGTCCACATTTCAAGGAACCATAATATTTTCCAATTAAACGAGAATTACATTCTCATGACATTAAAACAAATTGTACAAAAAAAAAAATCTTGGAACATTTATTTTTATATGTGAATTTCTTCATAAAGAGACACATTCACTGCAAAGTTAATTTCACTATACACATTTTCCCCTTGTGTCTTTTTAATTTTGTCGTAGAAATGTAAGTTTACAGCTGTCTTGGTATCTTTCTGATTTCTCTCTTTGTGCTTTTGGTTTCTTTTTCGACGTACTCTAAAAGTCAAAATGGTTGTTGTAATGACAATAAGAAATGCTGAAACGGCGAGAAGGATCACTATGAAAGTCTTTGGTGTCTGTGAACAACCATTGTCTAAAAAAAATTAAAAAAAAAATGTTTTAAAATATGCATTTGATATTTTGTCAACTGAAAGTAAGAGCTTCGAATCATCGGAGAAGATTATTTCCTTCTTATTTGTTTGTAAAATGTATTCCTTTTTGAATTATCAACTAGATTGTTCAGTTTGTACAAAAGCAGTTGAACTTGTTAACATTCCTATGAATTGTCCTCAAAATGCTCTTTCTTGTGGTTTCAAATTTATACATTGAAAAGATATGAAGACTGAAATTGTTTTGATATGTCAAAAACAGGTTAAAGTAGAAAACGAATTCTTTTCTCGTAGTCTTTGATAAGGTTTTTTATCCGTGAAAAAGTCAGACAATGATGCTGAAGACGCTTGGCATAAATACATAAAACCTTTGAATTATCAGGAAATTTCAAGGACAGGGAAGAATGTCTACATCCATATACGTTGCTATCAGATCTAAATAGTTTAATATTCTTACAATATAAGTTCAAAATTTCTCGAATTCGACACTCATAGTGTTAGATTTCTTATAAAAATTCTGTGTCCACAACTGCATATGCTTAAGTCTACAGCAATGCAAATTGACAGGGATTTAAAAAAAATCAAAGAATTTTCCATTAGATTTGCATCCTTCATAATTTTTTCAAGCATACAAGGTTTAAATGTTGTTTTTTTTTAATTTCTTTTAAATGTTCTCAGCATTAAAGAATAAAAATCGATGTTAAAAATTGCCCTTGATTGATTGAAGATTTTTACATCTCGTTCGAGAATTTTTATTCATATAGAGAAGTGACCATATACAGATGAAAAACCTTAAAGCGGCCTCCATGGCTATCGAGCAGTTATAGGACTGTAGCGTGCCAAAGGAACAATGGAACACGCAGATATCAAAAATTCTCATTTCATGAATGAAATTAGAATTTTCAATGCTATAACTATCGGCTTCTGATTTTTTAACATTCCTTTTTAATTATCGTGGCTCAAAGAGTAAGTTTGTTCCTTCAAATTTTATTCCTTCAAAGAAAACCTATTACTGAAAAGTGTTTATTATAATTAGATTAGTTTATCAACATGCATAAAAGGATCAATTATCTGTATACTCAAAATAAAAAAAAAATGTTTGAAAACCTAAAGAGGTCAATACGATTACTTGGTTTTTGATATCTGCATGATCCATTGAATGCATCACAACTTTCGTTAGGACATATTGATGGACAAGGTTTGCAACCTTCCCCGTAAGCTCCAGCTCTGCAACCTACAACAGACCGACAAAATCGTATATTATAACATTGTAAAAAAAAAAAATAAAGACAATCTGTTTTCATGGCAGTCTTATTGTTTTTCGTCTTCGTTATCTTTGTCTTCTTGAATAATACATCAATAATTTATCTCGGTTATTGAATTAATAACTGAAAAATAAATACATTTATTTTTACTATAGTACATACCTATGATTCTTACTTCACATATTTCAACGGTAGCGAATAGAGGCTCATATTCTGTACAATTTGTATTAAGTGGGGGGTCTTTTGAATTAAATATGGCTATGCCATTTGTCAATCGGTTAACTGTTATATTTTGTAGTTTGTTTGGGCTGGTGTGAGGTGTGTTGTATTTGTATTGTTTCATCATGTCTATTATTAGTAACATTAAGTTTCTTGAACATTCCAGAGTGGTCAACATGTTCGGTCATTGTTTCTAGAACAATCCTGAACTTTGTGTATGTCCAGAACTTTCCAGTAATATCATGTTTTAACAATTTCTAGAATATTCTAGATTTATATTACTGTATAAATACCCTGTCAATTCGATGCATGGAGATACTTTGTCGTATAAGCATCATTGAGGTATTACTGGGATATAATTTCACTGGGACATTGTGTGCAGCAACGGACACTCTGATGTATGTATTTTTAGATTCTTGCTAAGTTTGTACTTTATGTTTCATATACTTATTATATATTACTGTAAATAAATTATTGTTAAGTTTAAATTGTGTTATTGATCTTTGCTGGCATTTCGGGTAATTCTGACCCATAACAGAATCGTCCGGGATCAAGAATTTCTTGCACTTTTGCAGTTTATTGTCAGAATTTTGTTTATTGAACCGTTAAATTTGACTATAAGCCAGCAAAAATCAACATGGTATTTTCGGTCACAGACTTTCTTAGTTCACCAAGTGTTCAGGTTTTTGATACGTTAAAAAAGGATGACTTGATCGCATTAGGTTTGCATTTTGGGTTAGATGTTAAATCCTCTCAGAGAAAGCAAGACATTAGAATTAAGGTTGCAAACAAACTAGTAGAAGAAAACATCTTTAAAAAATATGATCTTCCAGAATATACAGTTAAATCAGAATTAGGCTCTTACAAAATGGCAGAATATCAGTTTCAATTAGAGTTAGAGAAAATGCGATTAGAAAGAGAAAAATTAGAAAGAGAAGATCGAGAAAGAGAAAGAGAAGAACGAGAGCGTGAACGAAAATTTGAATTAGACAAATTAGAAAGAGAAGAACGAGAGCGTGAACGAAAATTTGAATTAGACAAATTAGAAAGACAAGAGCACTTTGAGTTAGAGAAATTAAGATTACAGCACCAACCAGAACCGTCATTTGTCAAGAATGAATTTGACGCAGCAAAAAATATTAGGTTAGTTCCGAAATTTCAAGAAAAATCTGTAGACAAATATTTTCCCCAATTCGAAAAAGTCGCAGAGAATCTTAAATGGCCACAACACGTTTGGTCAACAATGTTACAAAGTGTACTGGTTGGCAAAGCAGCTGAGGTATACTCTGCACTAGGGGTAGCTGAAAGTTCAGACTATGAGAAGGTCAAAGCAGCAATATTAAAAGCCTATGAATTAGTACCTGAAGCGTATAGACAAAAGTTCAGAAAGTATAGGAAGTTTGATAATCAAACATTTGTTGAATTTTCACGAGAGAAAGAAGATTTATTCGATCATTGGTTCAGATCTAAGAATCTTGATAAAACTTTTGCTAATTTGCGCCAAGTCATCCTGGTAGAAGAGTTTAAGGAATGTGTTCCTCAAGATTTGAAAACACATTTAGAAGATAAGAATGTGAAAACTCTTGAAGAGGCAGCAGTCATATCTGATACTTATGCTCTGTCTCATAAAAAGAATTTTGTTTCAAGATCTCAGACTAGCAGTAATTCTACCAATTCAGACACATATAAAAAGAGTGGTTCAGGGTCTCAGTCTTTCACAAGTTCCCAGTCTCCATCCCAAGGTGGTTTTAAGTCCGGTCCAGGACGTGTTGAAGGATCGTCTGGAATAGGGTCGCTTCCTACTTGTAGTTATTGTAAGAAAAAGGGTCATCTGATCAGTGAATGCTTTAAACTTAAGAGAAAAAATGATTTTGATAAAACTCAACCACATGCTTGTGCGGCAGTTAGAGGTGATAGAGAAACCTTAGTTTCGATTTGTTCTGACACTCCTGATGTCCAGGGTTCACAGTCCAGTTCTATTGATTCTATGGAGGATTATAAGCCCTTTATGTCTCAGGGATTTGTTTCACTCGGTGACTCTAGCGAAATAAAACCTGTACAGATTTTGAGAGATACTGGTGCTGCACAGACGTTATTGTTAGAGGGCGTGCTTCCTTTTTCTGAGCAGACTTCTACTGGTGGGTCAGTTTTATTACAGGGTGTGGAGCTAGGCGTCATTGATGTTCCCCTGCATAGAATTAGTTTGAAGTCAGATTTAGTTACTGGACCTGTTATCGTAGGTGTTCGACCTACTCTTCCCGTTCCAGGCATTTCTTTGCTGCTAGGCAATGATATAGCTGGTGGAAAAGTTGTACCAGATCCTATAGTTTGTGAGAAAATCAATCCAGATGTCATGTGCGATGATGAAGATGATGACATTTATCCAGCCTGTGCTGTTACTAGAGCGATGGCCAGAAAACAAGAAATGGAGGCAGACCATACTCAAGCCTTTGACGAGACGAATTCCTCTGTTGATATTGATTTGAATGACACTTTCTTATCTGACCTTGATGGCACTCAAACAAGCATGGAACCACACAATATCAAGAAGCGAGAGAAGAAAGAACTGTTACCAAAATTTGGTGGTGAGGATGATGAGTTGCATCCACTAGTTAGCCAAGGCAAGGACATCCTCAGCCGAGAACGTTTACTCTCTGAACAACATAAAGACCCAGATATCATTCAACTTAGTAAGAGGGCACTTCCACCAGAAGAGGCTACTAAAGTTGGAGAATGCTTCTATATGACAGATGGCATCCTTATGCGAAAATGGCGACCACCTGATGCTTCTCCAGATGAAGTGTGGCGTGTTGTTCACCAGATAGTGGTCCCAGCTGCTTATCGTCGAGATGTCATGAGTTTAGCTCACGATACACCTATGGCTGGTCATTTAGGTATCAATAAGACTTATAATAATAGGATTTTGAGTCATTTTTATTGGCCTAAGCTAAGAAAGGATGTTTCGAAGTTTTGCAAGTCATGCCATGTCTGTCAGATGGTAGGTAAACCAAATCAGAAGATACCATCTGCTCCTCTCCAACCCATTCCAGCTTTTGAAGAACCGTTTAGTCGAGTGTTGGTGGATTGTGTAGGACCTTTGCCTAGGACTAGATCTGGAAACCAGTATTTACTTACCATTATGTGTACATCCACTCGGTTTCCTGAAGCCATACCTCTTAGGAATATAAAGGCAAAGAGCATAGTGAAGGCCCTAACCAAGTTCTTCAGTTTTGTAGGAGCACCCAAGGCAATTCAGTCGGATCAAGGCTCAAATTTTATGTCGGGGTTGTTCCAGCAAGTCATGCATGAGTTGGGTATAAGGCAATATAGATCAACTGCTTATCATCCTGAGTCCCAGGGAGCGCTAGAACGTTTTCATCAAACCCTAAAAACAATGCTGAAGACTTATTGTTACCAGTATGAGAAAGACTGGGATGAAGGGGTTCATCTTGTACTATTTGCTGCACGAGAGGCAGTCCAGGAGTCTCTTGGGTTTAGTCCTTTTGAATTGGTGTTTGGTCATACAGTTAGAGGTCCTTTAAAATTGTTGAAGGAAAAGTGGCTGACTGAGACTAGTGATCTTAATCTTTTAGATTATGTGTCTGATTTCAAAGAAAAACTTTACAATGCTTGTAAATTAGCACAAGAAAATTTGAAGAGTTCTCAGATGAAAATGAAAATGTGGTATGACAAAGATGCCAGAAATAGGGTGTTTAAGCCAGGTGATAAGGTTCTTGTATTTTTACCTATTCCTGGTCATCCTTTACAGGCCAGATTTTATGGCCCTTATGAAATTGAAAGCAAGATCAGTGATGTAAACTATGTAGTTAAGACACCAGGTCGACGTAAAGAGAAACGGGTTTGTCACATTAACATGTTAAAAGAGTATTTTGAAAGGTGTGACCGAAATTCTGTAAAACCAGTTTCCACTTTAGCCAACGCTAAGACTGTTCAAAATTGTATTGAGAGTGATAAGAGTGTAGAGATGAATGAGAAAGATTGTAATCAGAGTGTCCGCTTGAAAAACTCAGAAATTTTGGCTGATTTTGATTCCAAACTTGGACATTTGAACATTCACCAAAAAGAACAAGTTAAAAACTTGATGAATGAGTATCATCAAATCTTCTCGGATGTTCCAAAGAAAACTAATGCAGCTTGTCATGATGTTATAGTTGGCGACGCCCTGCCTATCAAACAACATCCGTACCGTCTCAATCCAATAAAATTGCAGTACCTAAGAAGGGAAGTGCAGTATATGTTGGACAATGACATTGTTGAACCTAGTAAAAGTGATTGGAGCTCACCGTGTATTCTTGTACCAAAACAGGACGGTTCGTACCGATTATGTACAGACTTTAGAAAGGTGAATTCTGTTACCAAAACTGATTCATATCCAATACCTAGAATCGATGACTGTATTGACAACACTGGAAACGCGAAATTTGTCAGTAAATTTGACTTGTTGAAAGGCTACTGGCAAGTACCGTTAACAGAAAGAGCAAAAGAAATATCTGCTTTTGCTACACCAGATGGACTTTACCAGTATAAAGTAATGCCTTTTGGCATGAAAAACGCACCGGCTACATTCCAAAGGATGATTCACTCCCTTCTTCAAGACCTTGAGGGATGCGAGGCCTACATTGATGATGTCGTCATATACAGCAACACATGGGACGAACATCTCCGAATCATGCGTGCTTTATTTGACATTTTAGCTAAAGCAAACTTAACTGTGAATCTTGAGAAGAGCGAATTTTGTCATGCTTATGTAGAATATTTAGGTCATAAAGTAGGTCAAGGTTATGTTACACCCATTATGGCTAAAGTGGAAGCTATTGCAAAGTTCCCGATTCCTACAAACAAGAAAGAATTAATGAGGTTTTTGGGCATGGCTGGGTTTTACAGAAAATTTTGTCCAAATTTTTCCTCAGTTGTAAGTCCACTTACAAATCTTTTACAAAAGAGGGTTAACTTTGAATGGACAAAGGACTGTGAAAAATCCTTTCATAAAATCAAATCTGTCCTTATG